GTTAATGGTAGAATCTAGATAGCGGGTATATAGGCATTTGCTATAAAATTAAAGGGTTAATAAAAGAATATTATGAAAAACATGCTCATAAATTTCACTACTTTGATCAAATGAACAAAGTCCTCAAGCGACACTAGTGGTTTTTAAATGTCCACACATTTTTTTGACTGTCATTCACCCAAAGGTGGTGTCTAATTCTCCTCTTTTTTAGTGTGGGTCAGACTAGTGTTCTGCTTTAACAAACAGAATACGGCAGAAGTAATGGGGTGCCACTTCTGAGACAGGTAACAAAAGGCATCATAGTTTCTTCTTTTTTAATTTTTATTACTATTTTTTTTGAGATGGAGTTTTGCCCTTGTCACCCAGGCTGGAGTACAGTGGCACAATCTCCAGTCACTGACTGCAACCTCCGCCTTCTGGGTTCAAAGGATTTTCCTGCCTCAGCCTCCCAAGTAGCTGGGATTACTGGCGCCTGTCACCATGCCTGGCTAATTTTTGTAATTTTAGTAGAGATGGGGTAGCACCATGTTGGCCAGGCTGGTCTCGAACTCCCTACCTCAGGTGATCCACCCACTTTGGCCTCCCAAAGTGCTGGGATTAAGGGTGTGAACCACCATGCCTGGCCTGTAGTTTCTTCTTTGCCCTTCCTCTTGGCTCACTCACTTGGCTAGAAAACAGCTACCTTTTTTTTTTTTTAAGGATACTTGATCAGCACTATGGAGAGGCCCATGTAGTTGGAAAATGAAGTCTTCTGCCAATCAGCAATACATTGGCCAATAGCCAATAAGGAAATGAGGCTTCTTGCCGAAAACCACGAGTGGGCCACCTTGGAAGCAGATACTCCAGCCCTAGTCAGGTTTTCATATGACTTCAACCTCAGTCAACATCTTGACCCATTTTTGATCCTGAGCCAGAACTACCCAGCTAAATGCTCCTGAATTCCTGACCCACACAAACTGTGAGATAACTGTTTATTTTTCCAAGCTGTTAAGTTTTGAAGTAATTTATTATGTAGCAATAGATAATTAACACAAACTACCAAAGCTTACTCAAGAAAAGCTACACAATGGAGTAGTCCTATATCCATGAAAGAAATGGAATTTGTGGTTAAAACCTTTCAAAAGAGAAAACTCCAGGTCTGGATAGTTTCACTGTTGTATTCTATCAAGCATTTAAGAATGAAAGAAAAAAATGCCAGCTATTAGCTTAATTGTTGCTCCTTTCAAAGTAATATTTATTTTGGCCGCTTTATACTTTTTCCATCTTTGGTTATCAGCAGTTTTACAACGGTGTAATTCCATGTGGTTTTCATTTTATTTATCCTGTTTGGGGTTTATGAGGGTTCTTGAATCTGAGGTTTAACGTCTTTCAATTTTGTTTTTTACAAATTTTAAAAATATATTTTTTGTATTCTTTGTTTGTTTTACCCAAGTCCTGCCTCAGGATCTATCTTTTGATTTTGTAAAGTTTTATTATTATTATTTTATTTTTATTTTTTTTGAGACAGAGTCTCACTCTGTCCCCCAGGCTGGAGTGCAGTGGTGCAATCTGTGCTCACTGCAAGCTCTGCCTCCTGGGTTCATGCCATTCTCCTGCCTCAGCCTCCCGAGTAGCTGGGATTACAGGCGCCCGCCACCACGCCCAGCTAATTTTTTGTATTTTTAGTAGAGACAGGGTTTCACCGTGTTAGCCAGGATGGTCTCGATCTCCTGACTTCGTGATCCACCCGCCTCGGCCTCCCAAAGTGCTGGGATTATAGGCATGAGCCACCGCGTGCAGCCAATAATTATCTCTTAAACTATTGCTTATGTTTCATTTTCTTTCTCCTCTTGGGACATAAATTTCCTCTGTTATATCTTCTTACTAAATCTATGTCTCAACTTTTGTATTTTTATTATTTTGTCTCTCTGCATCATTCTGGATTTTTTCTTGTAACTTGTGTTCATTCACCAATTCTTTCTTCAGCTATGCCTGTTCTGTCAATTCTATCCATCAAGCTCCTAATTTCAATCATGCTATTTTCAGTTCTAGTGTTTTAAAATTTTTTTTAAATTGACGCAAAATAATTGTACATATTTATGACATATATGGTGATATTTTGATACATTTACTGTATAGTGATTAGATCAGGGAAATCAGCATGTTCTTCAACTCAAAGTATTTCTCATTTGTGTTGGGAACATTCAATATTCTCTATTTGGAAATATATATTATTATTAACGATAGTCATCCTACAGTGCAGAAGAATGCTAGAACTTATTTCTCCCATCTAGCTGTTTCATTTTAATATAATTTTCAATGCTTTGCCAAAATTCTTGTAAGTTTAATTTTTCTTTTAAGCTTGTCTCTGAAAACTCCAATATCTGGAGGTCCCTACAGATGTTTAAATAGAAGCTTCTGCTGGTGTTCACTCATGTCTCTTTGTGTGGCTACTTTTTATTGTGTGTTCTACAGTGCACCTGCAAAACTATTTGTACATTTTGAGGCCTAATTTGTTAGTTTTCTACATTGTATAACAATATTACCACAAATCTGGTGTCTTAAGAAGAAGACACATTTACTACTTCACAGGTTCTGTGGGTCAGGAGTCCAAGCACAGATTTAGCTGGCTTCTTTCTGTTTCCTGGTCTCAAAAGGCTGCAATCAAGGTGTTAGCCAGAGCTGAGGTCTCAGCTAGGGCTCCACTGAACCAGGATTCACTTCCAAAATAACAAGGTTGTTGGCAATCTTCAGTTCCTAGCACACTACTGGAACAAGGATCTGTTTTCTTGCTGACTACTGGCTAGAGGCCACCCTTAGTTTCTTGCCATGAGGCCCTCTCCAGTGGCTGGTTTACAGCATGGCAGCTTGCTTCTTCAAAGTCAACAAGAGTCTCTCAATAAGATGAATATTAGAATTTGGTGTAATCATGTCCATCTCATCATCTTTGTGGTAGTCTATGAATTAGAATCAAGTCATAGGAGTCTCCCTCCACACAAGGAATACCAGGGGACAGGGATCATAGTGGCCACCTTAAAGTCTGTCTGCTACACCTAGGATGTTAATTTCTTCCTGAAAAGCAAATGTAGATTTGCTTTCGCCATGCATCTGGGAGCTCTAAAAACCTTAGATAACCTCAATCTAATTTCAGAAACTGAGGGTATTTGAAGCTGAGCTGCCATCCCTTTGAAGGCCTGCTTACTTCTGGACCATTGTTACTCCTAATGAGTAGCCATTTGGGATCCTCACCCCAAGTAAGGGAAAGGGTTTACCAGTGCAGGTCCCTTCTTCCTTGTCCCATGAGGTTATCAAAATGGCCATTCAACATCTGAGCAATCACTTACCACTTACAGAACTGGCCAATACAAGGGAAAACGGCTCCCCTAATTTCTGTTTCCTTAGGAATTCTTCATTGTTGCCAGCTCGCTGGTGTCTTCAACCAGGTATTTTTAATTAATTTATTTTAAGTTTATCTTTTTTTTTTTTTTAAGAGATGGGGTCTCCCTATGTTGCTGAGGCTGTTCTCAAACTCCTGAGCTCACGTGATCCCCTCGCCTTGGCCTCCCAAAGTGCTGGGATTAAAGGTGTGAGCGACGACACCCAGCCCAGATGTTTTTAAAATTTTGTTCAGCTGCCAGCTTTTATAGATATTCTCAGTGAAGATCTAGGACAAATTTCTTGGTCTACCATCATTGTAAATGAAAGCCTTTATTTTTATTTATTGTAGAGATGGGGTCTCCCTATATTGCCCAGGCTAGTCTTGAACTCCTGGCCTCAAGCAATCCTCCTACCTTGGCTTCCCAAACTGCTGGGATTACAGGTGTGAGCCATTGTGCTCAGCCTACTTTTTTATGTCCAGCATTTGGAGAGGGCCACATGGCAAGAAATTAAGTCAGCAAGAAAACAGATTCTTGTTCCAGTAGTTTGCTAGGAACTGAATACTGGCAACAACTCTTATTTTGGAAGTGAATCCTGCTTCAGTGGAGCCTCAGCTGAGACCTCAGCTCTGAACACATCTGAAACACAGATGTGTTTCAACATAATCTAACCTAAAGCAAAACAAAGATTTTTCAACCTAGAAAAAAGATTAGCGAGTAGTAATTATATTGAATATTTCTATTTCTGGAGCTTTCCATAATTTGGAAAATACAATATTATTAAATACTGCATTTTTATGGCTAAAACATGAATCTAGAAATTAGCATGGACTTATAAAACATTTTAGATCAGTTGATATTTGCTAATATCCCTATATGAAAGTCTTAAATATTAAGTATTGCTGCAAATTATATATAGTATTGAATTGCTCAAAACTGCATTGCCAAATATAAACAACACACTGATTAAACTAGCTACTGTAGTTGTCTATGGTGTCAAGATATAAAGTTAGAATATTTGAAGGATATTAATAGTATAATAGTACTTCATTTCAAATGGAAAGTCTGAAATTGATGAAAACTTCAACAATAGATACTGCATCCCTATCTTTAAAATACACTGGTTTGGGAGGACATTATATAAATTTGGCAGCCTTTTATTCTTATGTGAATAAAGCATCAGGCTTTATTTTTTAAGATCTGTAACTACTGGACATACTTTCAAAATAAGTATCTGGCTGGCCATGGTGGCTCATGCCTGTAATCCCAGCACTTTGGGAAGCCAAGGCAGGAGGATCACTTGAATCCAAAATTTTGAGATCTGTGCAAAGTAGTGAGACCTCATCTCCAATAAAAAATAACAAAACAGCTGGCATGGTGGCGCGAGCCTGTAGTCCTAGCTCCTCAGGAGGCTGAGGCGTGAGGATCACTTGAGTCCGGGAGGTTGGGGCTGCAGTGTGTGAATATCAAGTCACTGCAACCCAGGCTAGGTGACAGAGACCTTGTCTCAAAAGAGGAGGAATATCTAAAAGAATAAAATATGCTTACTTGCTTGAGAAATAAATTTAAAAATATAACCTATCAACCACCTTTAGTGGAGACCACTAGCTGTACCTACCTCAATTCTGTACTTTTTCCCCCAACTTTTCCTGGGCACGTGACTACCTGGAATGAAAGCTGTATTTTCCATCTTTCCTTGCTATTTACAAGTAAGGCATTATGACTAAATTTGGCCAATGATACTTCAATAGAAGTATTGGGTACAACTTCTGGGAAATTTCTTTAGACAGGGAATGTAACTTTCTCACTGCCCTCCTTGCTGGCCAGAGTGCTGCTGTGAGGGCTAGAGCTTCACCAGCAACCTTGGATCAAGGCTTGAATGCCAAGTGCTGAGGTTGGTAGACTAATACAGCAACTTGAAATACTTACTTCTGGAATTCTTTTATGTGAGAGGAAAAAAAAATTCTCTGTCTGTTTTTTTTAAGCCTCTGGTATTTGGGGTTTTAGTTTTATGCTGCTGAACCTAATCTTAAGTGATACACTTTTCAATTGCTGGCATATTAATCCTTTATTAGAAATTGTAAATGAGAAATTATATCAACACCTGAGGACCAAACTACAACAGAATATTCCATAGGCTCAAGATTTTGAGACATTCTGGAAAGAGTTTTCTGTAAGGTATATCCTTTCCGTGGCATGGCAACATCATCATTCTTTAAAAAGGTGACTGGACAGACATCATTTCCACCATCACCAATATAAACAATTTGTGTATAATTCACTCCCTGTTGTAACTGTTTATCTACAAATTCTATCAAAACTACCTTTTTGCAAAGATTCTTTGGGCATCTATTGCAAGAATGAGTATGATAATTTTCCACAGTGAGATGACCACTGCTATTAAAAGCTGCTGGATTTGTAAACACTTTATCAAATACATCATGAAAACTGGCAGCTTTTAAAACCCAATCTATGAAGACCGAATTTGAATCTGAAATAATAATGCAGTCAAATTTATCCTTATTCTTTCTTATAAAGTTGAAGAGTTCCACCATCCCTGGAGTGAAAGGCAATGATGTCACTGCTCTTTTCATTTCATGTTCTCTTACACCTTTATCTCCCAAATACTTAAAGACTCTGCCCATAAATTCTGTCCAAAATCCTTTTTGATAAGAATCACGTAGTTCAATAGGAAGTTTTTTGTTGGGAGCACATTGTACAATCCAAGTGTCACTATTGTCATCTATGATCGTATTGTCAAAGTCAAAAACTAGCAAAATTTTCATGGTTCCAGAAGTAGATTTGGATTATCCTGAAAAAGAAAAAATATTATTCTCTAAACAAACTCTGTTTACATATCTAACTAAAACACTTATTTAATAAACATAACTAAATGTTAATATGTTAAAAGAAGGAATATAAACAAAGTGATTAAGCACTTCGAGACCACTACCTAACCACTTTTCTCTAAGAAGCAAAGTTCATATTTGAGTATTTTAAGTGGAAAACAAAATATATAAAAAGGACATTCATAGTATTATTGTGTTCCTGGGGGTGTGTTTCTTATAGAAGTTATAAGAAAGAAAAAAAAGGCATTCTTACTATGATCACATTATCAATCAAACCACACTTATTTTATTAGATTAAAATATTTACAATCCTCATATTAAATAATAGGTCATGTATAAAGGATTCTCTGTGTACTACCCAAAATCCTGAACAAATTTAACACAGCATGAAATCTTGCAAGATGTAAAATAATTTTTTAAAAAAGGTATTTGCTAACAAAAACAAGTGGGGAAAGGATTCCCTATTTAATAATGGTGCTAGGATAACTGGCTAGCCATATGCAGAAAACTGAAACTGGACCCCTTCTTTACACCATATACAAAAATCAACTCAAGGTGGATTAAAGACTTAAGTGTAAAACCCAAACTATAAAAAAACCTAGAAGAAAATCTAGGTAATACCATTCAGGACACAGCACAGGCAAAGATTTCATGACAAAGATGCCAAAAGCAAATGCAACAAAAGCAAAAATTGACAAATGGTATCTAATTAAACTAAAGAGCTTCTGCACAGCAAAAGAAACTATCAACAGAGTAAACAGACAACTTACAGAATGGGAGAAAATTTTTGCAATTTATCCATCTGACAAAGGTCTAATATCCAGCAATTATTATGAAGTTGAAAAATTATACCATCCCTGAAGTGAAAGGCATTGATGTCACTGCTCTTTTCATTTTATATTACACCTTTAGCTCCCAAATATTTAAAGACTCTGCTCATAAAATCTGCCCACAATCCTTTTTGATAAGAATCATTAGTTCCTTGTTAAGGAACTTAAACAAATTTACAAGAAAAAACAAACAGCCCCATTAAGAAGTGGGGAAAGGACACAAATAGACAATTCTTGAAAGAAGACAATACATGTGCCCAAGAAATATATGAAAGAAAAAAAAAGCTCAACATCACTGATCATTAGAGAAATGCAAACTAAAGCCACAATGAGATACCATCTTATACTACTCAGAATGGCTATCATTAAAAAGTCAAAAAACAACCTGGCAAGGTTGTGGAGAAAAAGGAACGCTTTTACACTGTTGGCAGGAGTGTAAATTAGTTCAACCATCATGGAAGACAGTGTGGTGATTCCTCAAAGATGTAGAGGCCGAAATACCACTTGACCCAGCAATCCCATTACTGGGTATATACCCAAAGGAATATAAATCATTCTATTATAAAGATACATGCATGCATATGTTCACTGCAGCACTGTTCACAATAGCAAAGACATGGAATCAACCTAAATGCCCGTCAATGATAGACTGCATAAACAAAATGTGGTACTTATACACCATGGAATATTATGCAGCTATAGAAAGGAATGAGATGATCTCCTTTACACGGACATGGGTGGAGCTGGAAGCCATCATCTTCGGTGAACTAACAGGAACAACAACAACAACAACAAAAACAAACACCACGTGCTCTCATTTATAAGTGGGAGCTGTATCATGAGAACACATGGAATGGAACAACATACACTGGGGCCTGTTGGAGGGTTGGGCGTAGGAGGAGGCAGAGCATCAGGAAAACAGCTAGTGGATGCTGGGCTTAATACCTAGGTGACATGATGATCTGTGCAGCAGAGCATCACGGCACACGCTTACCTATGTAACAAATCTACATATCCTGCACATGCACCCCGAAGTTAAAAGGTAGAAATCAAAAAAATTTAAAAAAGAAGGTATTTAGTTTAAAATCAATTTCTAAATGCCAATATTATAATTAAATAATTGCTGACACTCTATATGATAGTCTAAACAAATTACCTGAGAACTGAAGGCCAATTCTTCTGAACTAGAAGTAACTTGGTTAAGAGTTTTCACATGTTTATCTATATCTGCTCTAGATAGTTTAGCTCTGGGGTGCCAAATAATTTGAATACACCTGAGTAATCATATTGTTTGTGGTGTGACACTTATGTCTCTGTTTTCATTAGAAGATAATGAAAGTGATTAATTATAAATCTCAAGAGAAAAGAAAAGAATAAGCTGGTCAACTGATGGTAAGAATAAACATTATTTATAAAAAATAACTATATAGAATATCCAGAAAAGGATATAATTAATGTGTGTAAATAGATAATAATTTTGAGAGTCATTATATGTCAGGTACTGGCCTAAAAACTTTGCAGTATCATACCATTTAATTGTCATAACCCTATTAAGTAGGAATCATTATTATCCTCATCTTAAAGATGTATAAGCTGGATCTTAAAGTGGTTAGGTGTTAGTAAAGTGCCAGAGCTGGAATCTTAGGTTGATTTGATTCCAAACTTAATGCTTTTAAGTACCAAATTCTAGTGTTAAAAAATAGAATTAAAGGCCAGGCGCTGTGGCTCACACCTGTAATCCCAGCACTTTGGGCGGCCGAGGCGGGCAGATCACGAGGTCAAGAGATCAAGACCATTCTGGCCAACATGGTGAAACCCCATCTCTACTAAAAGTACAAAAAAAAAATTAGCTGGGCATGGTGGTGCTCGCCTGTAGTCCCAGCTACTCAGGAGGCTGAGGCAGGAGAATTGCTTGAACCGAGGAGGCGGAGGTTGCAGCGAGCCAAGATCGCGCCACTGCACTCCAGCCTGGCGACAGAGCAAGACTCCGTCTCAAAAAAATAGAACATTTAATGACTACTCATTAGTTTAAAAATAAAATACTAAGTAGGTCATTTCGGCAGAAAGATATTTAATTCCATAAAAACATTCATTAGTTTCAAAGTACACACTAACTGTAACACCACATCGGTGATACACTTTATAACCATTTTGAGGTTTCTACAAGAAATCCTAAAAAGACAAAGAACCCAAGCAATAAGAAAAAGATCAATTAAAAATGAAAAACATGGCATTTAGCCACACATATTCTCCAGTTTATAACAGTTGATACCCAGTAGTGAAGACAGAATAGAGCTCTTGACTCACATAAGACTAAGTATTCTGTGTCTCTTAATTTAGAATATCTAGAGAATAATTAACCTACAGGGGTATCACCTGTTGTGTAAATGTGGATGATACATAATATTTTGTCACTCTGGATCCTTGTATCACTAAATGCCTAATCCAGATGCTTCTGACTGGTTCCCTGAGATTTAAATGCAGAATTCACTTTCCTACAGAAACAATGTAATAAATAATAAGGCATAATTGACAATCACATTAGTACTGTAACTAGGCATGTTTTAAATTAAATATGCTTTTTGAGAATTCTGAATTTATAATTAAAACAAATTTCAAATGTAACTCACTGTTGTTTGAAAACTGCCTCAAGCCTAAACTTAATTAGCCACAAATTACTGAAATTCCTGAATTATTAGCCTCAAAATAGCATGAGACTGAGGTAACAGTTCCCCTGCTGATCTGAAAGTGCACTTTGAAAATTTCACATCTTTTTCTATTAGTATTTTCTCACCACTCAACACAAACCTTTATAAAAATACTTACCCAACTTAGTATTTCCAAGACAATCTTACTTCAGCATTGGGATTAGGATAAACAATCACGACAATCTTCAGTCTTAAACACCAGCCAGTTGTTTTCAAACATTACTCCTATTCTATATACAGGGAACAGAGTCTTCTGTTTTGGAGCAAAATAATGGAAACTTCTTAACTCCTAAAATTAATAAAAGTATTTTAAAAGCTTTAACATTTATATTTTCTAATTATGTTGTTTTTCTTATGTCAGAAAAGTATCTCTTGGCAATAGGAGAACAAAGTTTTGCTTTCCACTTGGTATTGACTTGGTGTCGAAAATAAGAAATGTTACGTGAAAATAAGTTTTTGTCCAGTGGATAAAATCATAGTGCTAAGCTGACTGAGATTTTTCAGAGTCCATTTTTTTCTTTTTACTTGTTTAATAACAGAAGAATTCCACATTCTGTTGTCAATAGACATTTAGAGATTTAGTGCTGTATTAGAAATTAAAATGTCTCCAAAAATTAAGGATATGCACAAAGATTTAGTTTTAAGAATGTGAATCTATTTTGAAACCAATCTGTTAAAGTTCCAAAAAGAGTTAACTGTTCTCTTCAAAAGCACAATCTATGTCCATTTGGTATGTCTGCAATGTTTCCATAGTTTAACAATATCCTATGTACTTTACACAATGAAAATTAGAAACTACACAGACATCCAAGAATTGGGAAATAATTAAATAAGATATGCATGTGACAGCATATAATAGAATATCCAGCCAGTAAAAGCTAAGATATTCAGTTCAAATTAAATAAGCAAGTCACAAAATAGTGTGTACAGTATAATCCTGTTTTTGTTTTAGAAAATGTTTACATGTGCAGTGGAATGGTTATGGTTGGTTCAACCGTAGTTCACACTTGTTCTACATTAATTTTGTAATAAAATTTTTTTTCTTCTCAGAATAATTTAAACTGTTTGAGATCAGAGTGCATATGCTACCTTATTAAATTTACAACAAAGAAAAAAAAGAGTGGTGGGTATAGGACAAACAACTCTAGATTGACTTGGATTGTGGTTGGAGTTGGAAGCTCGAGTCTGAAGTCAAATTATATCTGACCACCATGTCAAATTGGCAAGTAACTGACATCAAATCATGAGATTCAACACTTTTTGTAACCAATTTTGTTAAAATTCCAGAGAATTTTTGTTGGGGGACAATTCTCCCTGCGTCTCTGGTGGTTGTGCATGTCTTACTGACTGCTCTTTCTTCTATTGTTTCAAGGAGGTTTGTACAGTGGACAGCCTTGAGAAACATGCTTATTTGTCCAAATGATAAAGATCTGGGTTCCCTAAGCTCAGGGCTGCTTTCCTGTAATTCGACATACTCTACATCTAGGTGACTTCTTGCTCACTTTGCATTATCCTGCGGAAACTGGGGCTTTAAAGAACTCAGGCAAAATTGCTGATATACTGGCTACTGCTGGGAGTAATTCATTCCTGAAACGAATAGTCTTCTGTCTTCCATGAAACTGCCAGGCTAAGTTAGCCTGCAAACAGGGTAAAATCTCTGTTCCTTCCCAGTTCTTGACACCTTGGCACTGCAAGCTCCGCCTCCCGGATTTACGCCATTCTCCTGCCTCAGCCTCCTGAGTAGCTGGGACTACAGGCGCCCACCACCACGTCCGGCTAACTTTTTTTGTATTTTGGGTAGAGACAGGGTTTCACCGTGTTAGCCAGGATGGTCTCCGTCTCCTGACCTTGTGATCTGCCTGCCTCGGCCTCCCAAAGTGCTGGGATTATAGGCGTGAGCCACCGTGCCTGGCCCCCAGTTCTTGACTTTTTAAGGTATGCTTCCAAAAACCTACCAGCGCTCTATGTGCACAAACTAATTTATGTCTACAAATATTTTCTTAATTATTCCATACTTACCAGCATTATTACGTGGAACATCTGATAGAAAACCTAAAGAAAAACAGCACGACTGTGTGTTAGGACGTTCGTTATTAAAAATCTTTTTGTTCTTTCACTTTGAGAGACTCCAGTTTGGTGCATTATGTGTACACATCAGAGCCAACTTGTTAGTAATGAAGTTATCTGTACATCAATGTATTAGAAAAGGATCTTTTGAAACCAAAAGCACAGCTACTCCTAACAGATTTCTGTGGTCCTGTACTTACCAAGAAATTTAAAATATCTCAAAGGTCCTAACATAAATGTTCTAAGCATATCATTAAGTTTTAACATTCCTATTTTTTAAAAACTTGGCCCCATCTAGTCCTGACCATGCCCCAGAAACCAAAGGATTAAAAAAACGGCGTTTATGTCAGCGAATCCACGGGTTTTTATGATTAAGGAAGCGCTTTGCTCCTCACATTCCACCCGCGAGGAGATCGGGTACACACACACCACGCCTAGGCCTCGCGCGCTCACACACCTGCCGGCTCCACCCCGAGGGTAGGCATCGGACCCAACCGGAGGTCGTCCCCCGTGGAGCGCGCAGCAGGCGAGGATGGGAGTAGCAGGCAGGGCGGGGGTCCACGGGCTTCTCACTGACCCAGGCCCGCCGTCGGCAGCCGCCCCGGCGCCCGTGACGCTCCTGCGGGTTCAGTCCTTCGGCCTCGCCCCACGCCTGCCCGCTGGGCAGCCCCACTCACAAGCCCAGCTCGCAGGCGCGGGCGCAGGCGCCTCTCTTGTCTAGCCCGACCGCCAACTGCAGCGCCTTCCTTGTTCCTCGGCGACGGCTGGCGTCACTTCCGGCGGCGTTGCCAAGCAACCGCGTGGTTCGAGTAACGGCGTCCACCGGCTGGAGTCCGCGGCGCATGGCGCTACAGTCACTTTTCCAGATCTGGGCGCACCGTGGACACCTCGTCAGAGATGCTGGTACGGTTTGGACGACGCTGTGGACAGGCGAAGGAAAGTACAGGTGAGCTACACTGGCCTATCCAGGGACAGGGATTGTTTCTGGACCCCCGGCATGGAGTGAGAGGCGAGGATGCCGAATGAGGGCTTCAGTTGCTTTTTGAAATGGACTCCATCAAGTCGAAAGCATCCTCAATAAGCATCTTTCGGCTCTGTGTAAAGTTAGGCCATCTTGCCCTCAGGTGAATGGGTGAAGGAGGGAAACGGGGAGTGGAAGTGGGTGGGAGAATGTTTACAGAAATAGGGGTGGAGAAAAGATAGGAAATCAGAGACCCCCCACCCCCAGCTAACCTAAAACTGCGCAGTTGCAGCTCTGAGAGTCTGGGCTTTGTTAAATTTCCGGCACGCTTAAAGTTTGTTATTCACTGATTGAATTGGAATATCTCTTGGAAATATAAGTCCCCTCTTTAGAGTCTTGGCTCTGCTGCAAACTTGCTGATTGGTCTTTACTAAAAGTCTCTGAAGGAAATATCTCCATTTCCTCCTCTCTAAAGTATATATAAGGTATCTCTCTAAGTCAAATGCTTGCATAGAGTTAAAAAAAAAATCGTGCGACATAAAGTATTGTAATTCAGATGACCTGTTATAACAATTTGATTTTGGAATAGAAATAGACTTCTAAAGAACTCTATCAATTCTAGCTACGACAGTTTCTTAAGTCTGTAAATTGGCAATTAATGTAGTCATGGTGACAACTAGAACTTTGGCAGTTTGAAGTATCTTCGTGTCATTGCCCGAGCTTCTGTAGCAATAGTGCCCCCTGCACCAGATGCAGAGTGAGAGCCAGTCATTCTTCACTAGTGGATATTTATGCAGTGGAGGTTTTATGAGGTTAGCCGCGGACTTTTGCCATGTGAAAGGAAAGAAACAGTACCAATATGGCAAGTATTGGAAAAGCACAGTTACTCCCACATATTCACTTTCCTGCATATGCATTTCTGCACTACCTGGTTTAGATTTACCTAATAGTTGTTAAATAATGTTTTGTGGCAACTAGCTCACAAGCTTCCATCCGAGCCTCGCTGCTAAATTTTAATCTCCATTTTTAGGGGAAGGCTAAGTAGGAGAGGGTTTCAGAGATGTGTGCAGCTATTTGTAAAACAAATACTTTATCAAGATTTAGTGGGGTGACATCAGCCAGAATGGTGAAATAGGATCTATGCCTGAAATCCTGTCCTCCATAAAATCAACAAGAACAGTGGCAAAAATCATCAGTATCGACTTTTTCAGAACACTGGAAATTAACCAAAGGCTTGCAACAATATGTGGAGTGTTTACTAAAGAAAAACAGCTGGATTTTTGTAACAACAGCGAGGTTTTTGGCATTTTAACTTGCCATATTCCTATACTTTTCTCCTAGCCCCATGGCAGCCTAAATAACCACAGCAATCACAGTTAAAAATACTGACTTAGCAACTTGTAGAGGGGACAAACAGAATTTGACCCACTCCAAAGCCAGACAACTGTTATTATTCGACATGTCTGATAGTTCCTTGGAGAATCTCCCTCATGAGGCTTATTGTTATTTAGACTGACTTCAGACTCACCAAGTATGTTTGTCAAATGATCAGTGGCAATTTTAAGTATCACAGCTATCAGAGGCAGTGCTATAGTTTTAATGTGTCCTCTAAAAAGCATGTGTGGGAACTTAATCCCCAATGTAAAAATGTTGGGGAGTTAGGGACTAATGAGAGGTGATTAGGCCATGAGAGCAGAGTAAAGGGATTAATGCCATTATCTGGGGAGTGGGTTCATTATAAAAGTGGGAAAGTTGGCCCTCTTCTCTCTCTCTCTCTCTCTGTCTCTCTCTCTGTGCGTGTGTGTCTGTTGCCCTCTCTTTGCCCTTTTGCCATGTAATGCCTTCCATCATGTTATGATGAGGCATGAAGGCTGCTGCCAGATGCTGGCACCTTGATACTGGCTTTCTCAGCCTCCAGAACCATAAGCCAATAAATATCTATTCTTTATGAATTACCCAGCCTAAGGTATTCTGTTATAACAGCATGAAACAGGCAGGCAGTGATACAGTTGGCAGGCAAACAACACGCTGACCAAAAAACTTAAAAGGATCAGCTGGAAAGTGATATGTCCATAGGGGGTTTTGGAAAACTCCTGACATATTCCTGGGAATCTAGAAGGCCAAATGCATGCATAGAGGATGACTATGACTCTCTAGTAGATTGAGTCCATTACTTAATGCCCCTTAATTAATTCCTTTTCTTTTCTGCCTAAACTAGTTAGAGTAAGTTTGGCTGTTAATAATTAAGAAACTTGATTGATTAAAAGGGTAGGACCAATTTTCCAAGGAGATCTGTTATGAGTCCCACTGTGTCATTTAGGATGTTTTGAATTCATATAATGGAACACCCAACTCAATCATCTTCAAAAATAAGGACCTTTTTTTCACTTTATAACAGGAATGCCAGGCTTCAGGTTGAGTTGATTAGCAGAATAATGAGATTATCATTGCCGCAGATTCTCCTGTTGTTTCTCCTTTGCAGTAACAGCTTCTTTGCAATAATAGCTTCATTCAAGGCTGGTTTCTCTTGTGATTGTAGCTGTTTATCTGTCTCTCTTTCTTCCTTATTCATACTTAGCTTGAGAGTCTTTTGGATGTCTCTCCCAGAAGAACAAGGAAGAACTTTTCTAAAAGTTGCAAGTAAACCTTTTGTCCTGTTTCTTTGCTTTTTAGAGAAATAGTGATTGACAATGGAGATACAAGTGTTCTTAAACCAATTCGGCCCACCCTGGAACTATAGTGAGTTCTCCAAATTACGTTGCTGCTGTTCAGTGGGAAGAGGTTGAATAGAGTCAGTCATAATGCCTACAACCCCAAAAGATGAACACCCACAAAGTTATCCATTTATAAACTGCCACTTTGTTAACTTTGAAAAATGTTTTTATAACAAGCTGTTGGGATAGGTATTACTAGGAGATCCCTATTTTAAAGATCAGGGTACTGAGATTCCAAAAAGTTAAATGACTTGCCCAAGTTTACACAGTAAGGAAGTGATTAAACAAGTAGTCAAATATATGCCTTCTGATTTCAAGGCCTTGTATTTTTTTTTTTTTTTTTTTTTTTTTTTTTGCTTAATCATAGCTGTCCTTGGGATAACAAGAGTAAATTAAGCATTTGAAATATTTTCCAGTTATCATGCCACTATTGGAACTTCTGAGACAAATATCACTTAAACTGTTCCTGTAAGTCTTTAATAATCATTTTTTACAATTTATTAGAAATAAGAAATTCTGAAGAAGATCAAGTTCTCTATCCACCTCTTCTGCCTAGCAAAGTAGATCTCCAGCAGGTCACCATAATTCCACACAATGAGTGGAAAAGGATTCAAGATAGCCTTGACAGGTTGACAAGAGAAGCAGCATGCCTCCGTGCAGAAAGAAAGGCAAAGAAAGAAATGCATTTGCGATCTCAAGAGGTGGTAAAACACTGGACTAATACATATGCAGTAAGTATTAACCACCCAGGAGTACACATGCACTGAAGACTTACCCTTGTTTCTTAGTACTCTTATGCTTCTTTTTATAATTTTTTTTACATGTAAAATTTCATAAAAATGCATCGAAACACACTTTCAACAGTGTTATTTAGGTATAAGTGATATACAATGAATTGGACATATTTGAAATGTACAATCCTATAATTTTGACATATGTATAAACCCCCAATACCATCATTACTATTAGGATAATGAACATGTTCTTCACCTCAAAATTTCCTCATGACCTGGTTTATTCCCTCTCCTTCCTCCCTGCTGCTCCTCTGGATCCTTAGGTAACCACTGATCTGTTTCCTATTACAGAGTTCATTCAACACAATTACTTTGAGATTCATTCATGTTGTGGGTATCAATTGTTTATTTTTATTGCTGAATAGTATTCCATTGTATGGATATACCACAGTTTGTTTATTTGGTTAGTTTTTGATGGTTGACATCAATGAAATGTTGACATTTGAGATGTTTCTTTCCCTTTTTGGCTATTACGAACAAAGCTGCTATGAACATTCACGTATAAGTCTATGTATGGACATATACTTCCATTTCTCTTAGTAAATATCTTTGTGTAGAATAGCCGTTTTTTATGATAGGTGTATATTTAACTTTGTAAGAAACTTCCAAACTGTTATCCAAAGTAGTTGTAATTTTGCATTCCCAATAGTAATCTTTGAGAGTACTATTTCCTCTCCATTCCCAACAATACTTGGTATAGTTGGTCTTTTTAATTATAAACATTTTAATAGGTGTGAAATATCTCATTATAGTTTTAATTTGAATTTCTCTAAGTAAAAATGATGTTGAATGTCTCTTCCTGAACTTATTTTCTACCAGTATATCTTCTTTGGTGATGTATCCATTCAAATATTGTTCCCATTTTAAAATTAGTTTTATTATTGAGCTTAGATAAGTTTTAAACCATATTCCAAATACAAATACATGATTAGGTATTTGACTTGAAAATACTTTCTCCCGCTCTATATCTTGACTTTTCATTTCCTTACTGTGTCTTTTGAAAAGCAAAAGTTTTTACTTTTAGTGAAGTATGTTTTATCAATTTTTCTTGTATATATCATTATTTTAGTGGCTTATCCAAGAAATCTTTACCTAATCTAATATCACAAAGACTTTCTCCTATGTTTTCTTTTAGAAGTTTAAAAATTTTAGATTTCACCAAATACTTCATGTTCTCACTTATAAGTGGGAGGTAAATATTGAGTACACATGGACACAAAGAAGAGAACAGTAGACACTGGCACCTTTTTTGTTTTGTTTTGTTTTGTTTTGAGATGGAGTCTTGCTCTGTT